TGATCTTAACTTGCCTGGAAAGCAACATTGACATGCATTGGATTACCGCTACTGAGAAGTATCCTGCTTACAAAAATTATGATTAAAGCAAGCAGCTTGATACAAATGCGTCTCAAATAGGCATAATTCATTCCCAGGAAATTTTATTTATATAAAGGCGATTTCTAAATAGTCATCTTAATTTCTGATGCCTTTATAAAAAACAATATAAAGCTTTAGAACGATAAACCTGAAAGTCAGAATGAAGACAAAGTCAAGATAAAATACTAAAAAAGCAAATTCCAAAAAGACTTACAGAGGCTGTGCTGAGCTTCCACTTCCCATGAGAAAGTATTATTACAAATCACACAGGCTATTTTTAGTGTTTTATAGATTACTACTGCTTAACAAAGCTTTTTTTTTGTACTTTTTTGTGCTTTTTCACGATAATTTTTTTAAAGCAATACCACTCACTAACAGAATCCTACTGCATCTATCGGCAGTGTTTGCACAACAAAAGCGTGAGCTGCCACAAGGAGACCAGAGGCTGCTGGGGCTGCACTGCAGTGATAATCATCACGACACATGGACTGTTACAAGAAGTTATTAACAGTTATATATTCTGAGGAACATGGATTATCGTATTTGTGGATATTATAGTACTGTATGATAGATCAGTAGTATGAGATAAAGCAATTGCGCAAAAAGTGATTAATATTAAATTATACATAATTGTTGGATAATGACTCTGATATTGCTAATTTCATTTAATTCTGAGACATTATGTTGCCAATACTACCTATGAATATTAGTGTAATTTAGCTTTTACTCAGTATAATGACCTCTTAATACTTTATCTGCAGAACCATATTTCATTATTTTGACCATGCAGAACTTCAGAGATATTAACATAGGTTTGTAAATCTCAGTTTAGAGTCACCACTTGATTAGATACAATATGCTATCAGGAAGAAAGCTTTTGAGGACATGAATGTCTGTTTAAATTTTGCTGTATTGGGAACTCGGTGTTTGTGAGAAATGGGAAGTGCCATGATGTAAAATTAAAGTTTGATGTGGGTATTAAGTACGGGATCTTGGTGTGACAGGAAACATTTCTTTTAGTTAACCTACCTTGTATGGACTTACTTCTTTTACACGCAAAAACTTACAAAAAGTCATATATACATGTATGTAGTTGAAATGCTTGTGAACAAGTACCTTGAGATTTGCTGTGGCTTCTTGCTTTGATTTTAATAATTCTGTAATTTTTTCTTTCTGTTCTTTCACTATGCTTGTCAGGTCTTGGATCAGACTTGCCATCTGCTCTTCCTTTTGTTCAGACTGAAAGAGGGCCTGTTTATGTTCAGCTAGCTCAGCAGCAACATTTTCAAACGCATCTTTAACCTAAAGATTTAAAATAAAAACTACCCTTGAAAAATATTAACTTCAACAATATCACCACCAAAATAAAGTAACACGCATGTGCGCGCACACGCTCACAAATAACTTTTGAATTTCAAATAAAGAAATATTATTTGATCAGGAGTTTGCAAAATTAATAAACATAGAAAGCTAGTTTTTTATGAGTTCTTTGATGATATTTCATCTAAGACAGTTCTACTCAGATGCAAATTTGTACAAAAAAATTTAAAAATTGAATGGTAAAAAAAAAAAGTCTCTCCTCTTCTCTAGCTTATTTAAAATGGGGCGAAGCAATTTTTAATTAAAGATGAAACATTTTATATTTTGTGCATTTTAATTTCCGTATAAAATTGTATCAACGGTAGTGACATAGGACTTCAGGAAAAAAATTCCTGAGGAACTTTGAAGATTAAAACAGCAGGGAGCTTTGTTATTAAATATACTAGTAAACATGTAGCCATAGCTGTCCAAAAAGAAAGAGGATTTTTTAAGCAGAAAATATTATATTAGGAGATCAACATATTTAAAAAAAAAAAAAAAAAAAAAAAAAAAACACATAACCACCTGACAGGAGTTTCGCTGATGTCATTTTAACTTTTACTCATAGACAAAAATGCATTTTTTTCAAGTGCTGTTGTATCAAAGCTTAAAGCATAAGTACCAAAAGTTACTTCAAAGTTTACTACAGACTTTCCAGATGAATCCTTAAGATCAGAAGATTTTGACACTGAAATTTAAGAGCTCCTCAACACTACCCAGTTCAAAATGGAATACCCTTTCAGTCTTACCTCTTTAAACCTTTTTGCTTCAATAGTTAAAGCTAAACGAAATTCATCTTCTAACTCCATATATTTCTGGTTTAACCCATTAATTTTCTCCTGCAATTCTTTAACACGCTCTTCATGTCTCTGCTCTTCTTTAGCCATTTCCTTTGACAAGACATGCTGGAATTCAGGTCCATGTAAAACAACTCGAGTTTCAAGTTCTTTCCTAGAGTTACCAAATACATATGTAAGACTGCAACATCAAACAATGCTACTTTAGTTGGTTTTCTTAGTATCCCTTAAAAGCAGAATAATGAATTAGATAAAGGGAGATATATTCCTTAGTTTCACTGACAGATTTCAGTCCTCCCTGACACTGTTCCTGTGATACGTTGATTACTATCAAATAGTCACAGAAAGGAACAACCCTGCTTTTAAATTCAAATTTTAGTAGAAATTATTCAACTGCTCTTCTGCTGTTAGTGAATAGTAAGGAACCATAAGGATCTGGAAGCTATACAGGGACTTGGGAAATCACCCTCAACCAAAAATCACTGCTCCTTTTTCAACTCCAAAACTTGAAGAGTAGCAGCAACAAGGACTGAAAGACCTCTGGGGTATCTGTCTCCTTCCTGTCTGGAAGCACCTGTAGAGGGGCATGATGAAGCAAAAATCACCCTGTAACTTAACTCTCTCCTATTTACTATCTCTGTTCATCATTTAAGAAACAACAAAAGACATCTGCTGCCCTCACATTAACTCTTTTGGCGATTTATGAAGGAATTATTGAAAACTCTCAAAATGCAATTATCAAATCTTCCCCATTTATACCTGAAATTGTTTGGGTATTTGTGTACATTTATTCTTGAAAAATTGAGTAAGTATTCTCAACTTATTAATTAAGCTACATACACAGTTATATTGCACATTACATTCCCCTCTAGTTCTTACACATATTTGATTATTTTACTAAATTAGTCTGTGTTTATTCCTAAAAGGTTTTTTTTTTTTTAAAAAGTCAGATATCCTCTAAAAATGCAAAATTGGAAAGAAAATGGGAAAAGAGCCAAAAAAACATAACCAACCACACTAAAGCAAGACGCTATGAAACTCAATACTTTTGGGGGAACATTTTGTATGACTATAGTACACACAAATCTTCAGATTTTCAAATGCAATTCTATTTTTGCCTGTTTTTTTTCCTGCCTTAAAGACCAAGTATTTTAAAACAACAGAAGTTTAACTATTTAATAATAAAAAGCTACCAAAAGAAAAATTAGAAGAACATAATTCGCTTATGTCCTTTGATATCTCCATTAGCTTGCTGTTAAAACAAAATAAAAAACTCCATACCTCTGTTCTTGCTCTCTTAATATGAGAAGTTCATGTAGTTGTTTTACCTTCTCCTTCTGTTGTCGAATTGATACCCGGAGCAATTGTACTTCTCTTTCATTTGCTGATGCTCTAAGCTCTGCTTCTTGAACCTGCTTCATCTGTAGAGAATTCATAAAAATGAGAGAAACAAGATTCTTAAAACTGTCATCTATTTGTTATGTCTTATATGAGAACAAATCAGTTACTTTATTAATGCTTTAATGTCTGTCTAGGCTATTATGTTTATAGCATGCTCCACAACTATCAATTGTTTCCTTAAATTTTAAAGAATTTTCTAGCGTTATCTATCTGAAACAAAGCTTTAACTTTTATGCAAGTATAATAACACATGTAGCAATAAAATAAGGCATATATGTCTACAGTTGGCTTAAATTACCACAAAACAGGGCAAAAAAGCAAAATAACAAAACAAAAAGAAAAACAACAAAAAGACTTCTCTGAAGAACCAAGGACATTTACTGGAAGAATTTAGAAGTCTTCCTAGACTTAGAAGTGGGACACGTGTATTGGCAGAATGATTTCCTCCAATTAAGAACTCTTGTATTGCAACTCTTATATTAGTTTCAAGGAAAACATTTTAGATGTATTCAACACTATATATATAAAAACATATATTTTTTATTATTTTTATTTATTTTACACACTCCAATTAGAACAGGTATCATTAAAGTCTGCATCTTACTGAGTTTTACATTTTAACATTGCTGAACAGCGTTGCCTTCTAGCAATCTTACGAAAACAGAATCACAGCATGAACGCAATATGGCAGAGTCTGCTGTGTCTTTTTGGACTTGACAAGCTAAAAAGAAGGATCATATGGATAAAATATGAGAGGCTTTATTTACTCATGAAGGGTAATTCAGAATCAAGACATTATAGAAGATGCAAGCTAGAACACAAAGCATAAACAACATAGGTGGTAAAGTGTGTTTCTGCTCCTCCTAATGATAACTTGAAAAATCCACCTCCATCCCTGCATGCTTAAGCAGAGATTGCTAAGCAATTAATTTGCTTGTCTATTTGTCCTGCAGAGCAAAGCATTTGGCAAATCACGTTCTCCATGCTCTGTGCTTAAACAGTTCTAATCTCTTTGCTTTCCAGGGTACAAGAGCTGTAAGGAATTCCTGATTAATGAACTACTCGAGACTACTCGAATGTTAGTTACCCAAAGCAGAGCTGGAATGCAACAAGGTCTGCCTAGTTTACATTTAAACTCCTGGAAGAAAAGCGAAACAAAAGCAAAATCTATTTTCATATAGAATTATATTTTCCGTTTTCCCTCCCACCCATTCTATAAATTTTTTTAGTGAGGCTTTTGAATGTTTATTTCTAAACCGTCATATTCTACATGTGAAGTTTCTTCTTGAGTACTATTTAGGCATTGCCCAATGTGTCCCCAGTGTATCCCTATTGTTTTGGAGATTAAATGAAGCACTTCTCTCTTAAATTGAAGAACATAAAACAAACAAACAATCAAGTGAGAACACATGTGCATTTAAAGAAAGACAGAAAATAGTAATAACATGAGTGTCTTGCATTCTTTGAAGCAGTAATCTCGTCATGTTGACTCAAATTAACATCAACTCTATATGCAGTAACTGTCATTCATCACTGATGGCTATAGTTTCTGGCCACATATTCATCTTCTTAAGCTAAATTTCCATGCATACTGCAAGAGCAGCTCTAAAAAATATGAACCATCAGATTTCCATTTTTACTAGTGCAGTTACAATCTATTTATCTACTTAAACATTATAAGAAACCTCTTTTCAGTACTATATAATTTTAGAAAATAGCAGGTGTGAGGGCTCAGCATCTAGGATTTAAACTCTTTAATCTTAAAGACAACATCATATGCAATGTATTTACATTTTAAAGGCTAAAACATTACTTAATAATTAAAACGGAAGTTTATTATTATATAGCACTGTGTAGAAAAATCAGCTTATACTGCGAAAAAGTCAGGCATAAGCCTTGTGACACCTAGAGCACGTTAGCATCTAGGAACGCAATAGCCCTCCTGTCACCATCATTTACCCTTTAAAAAAATGTTACCTCTGCTGTTCGTTGCTGCAGTCTCTGGGTCTCCATCTTAGCCAGTGTTTCTTCTAAAGCTTGCATGGCCTTCTGATATTCCGCTTCTTTATTTTTTGCCTGATTTAACTCATTAGTAAGTCTTTCAGCTTCACCTTTCAATTGCTGGACATCTGCTTGCAATCTTGTTTTAACCTCTCTCTCTTTCAGTATCAATTCCTTTAATCTGAAAATTAATGCAACAATGTTGTCATAAACTTAATACTTATGTTAGTATTTAGTCAGGCACCACTGAAAAAAAACAAACAAACAAACAAAAAACCCACATGTTTAAAGTGTTGCACTTTGTTCTTTGCTGAGTTTTCCCACATGCAGGATCACAATGCAGGACTGCTTAGTAATAAGTAAAATATTACAGAAATACGTAGCCTGACTATATTGAACTTATCTTGAAAAGAAACTAAGTTGGAGACAACCAGATAGACATGTCTTTAATGTAAAGTCATACTGGAAAGGTCATTTCTTTACATTGGAACTCAATAATAACAAATAGTAATTTTTGATATATTTACTTTAGAAAACATAGATAATTTATCCAACATTATTGCAATCTTCAAGAATAATTAAATCACCAAAGAAAAGGAGATTAATACAAGGTGATAACAAATGAACACTGGAAAGGAACTTAAACCTAAGGCAAAAAAGGGAAAGGATTATACAGTCAGTCATGGATGGTAAATAGAAAAAAGTTTAATTTGTTTCTTCCTTACAAGAAAGTGTGCCTTTTATACACACACCAGAATTAAGAAGAGGAGGAGTAGAACAGCTCTCAGGCACTGCTGAGAACACACAATACACTTTGTTAGACGGGCCAGCTTTTGCAGGAGAGAAGAATGTTAGCCAGAACTGATAAGGATTTGGAAGACAGTCTACCCAAGAGCTGTTAGACCAGACTGGGACAACATACACCCTAGTGACTGACTGGTCTGCCAGAAATGTCTTGGCTCAACTGGACCACACAGGATTGAGAACTCCGTGTACAGACAGAAGGGGAGCTTGGAAATAAAAAGCTGGAATTATGACATGAGCCAACGTACCATAGATAGGGCATGAGCTGAGAGGGAAAGTACAATTACAATAAGGATTGCTTGGAAAGCAGAGAGCTAGAATTAGAGGTAAGCAGGGTACGGATTACTAGAGACACAGAGAAGAACTGGGCAGTAAGCAAGGTCAGAATTTCTTGTTTTCCCACCTCTTATCGAATTAATAATGATAACTCATCAGGTTTTGCACTGCAGTTGCTTATAGCACAGTAGCAGGAACACTTAATCATTAAGTAGTACTGAGAAATTTCCAGCAATATTTCTTGATGGATCGTTTTCCAAGCACATTCTTAAAACTGTTCTCATTTCTTGATCCATATCACACTAAGATTCAGTTAAAAACAAAAACAAACACTAAAGCACTTTGCTTCCATACCTATCTGTAGTGTACACAGCCATACTCTGAATATTCTTTTCTTCTTTCGCATGTTTCTCTAGTTCTTTGACATGTTCTATTAGTTTCTTCTCAGCTTGTTCTGCTTTCCACCTCCTTTCTTTCTCCTGATCCAATTCCTGAATCAGTGCCTAAGCAAGACCATATTAAACATCAGCTTACTAGGAAACATTGAACTGTAGCCAAAACTGACAAACAACATTCACAATTGTAAAACAGCCTTTTTTTTTTTCCCTCCCCCTGGAGCAGATGGAAGACGAACAAGGCAGACAAGGCAATAAACAAAACCTCCTTCTGAAAGCTAAATACGATAACTTCTCTTCCTGATTATAGTTTATGAACATCATTTTTTAATGCCATTTTAATGCCAATGCTACATGCAATTACTTTTGCCACCTCTAACATTAGAGTTTCAGAAGGAGACATCTGCTTGACTTCAAGGAAGAAATATGCTGCTATTCAACTTGAAATGATGTAAAACATACTCGGTATGTGGATTCCCCTGGGGCATTTGAAGTAGTTTCTTCTATTTTTTCTGTATGGTTCTGCTTTCCTATTAATAATTCAGCTCTTCTTCCCATTACTTCCAGGTCTGGGGTATCCGATGAACTGACATGAGAGTTTCTCTGATTGGAGCATGGACACTTGGACAAAACTTTCTCTTCTCTGTATTGTCAAAAAAAAAATCAATATACATATATGTTTATGTAGAATTGAAGTATCATCTTCTACATTATCATCAAAGGTACAAGAGATTAAGAATAATTCCATAGAACAAAACTTTTACAGTACTACATAGGACCTGAATTGTATACACATGCAAAATAATGGGTAAATTGGTCAGGATACAAACTAAACTCAAATCTTCAACTCAAAACTGTTATAATATTGAGTACCAGTAGATACTCTTTGAAAAGATCATCAGATAGTTATGAAACAACTTTAGAAACAGGGTACTTCCAGAGCCACAGGGGCTGACTAAACAGTGCAATGTATATTCTTTTCTTTGCTATACTTTTAATATTTACTATATAACCAACAATAAATTATTATAGCAATCTCCGTTTCATCGCAAAACAAAGAGCTGTATTCTCAGGTTAGCAATCTGGCTTTGTACACACACATACGTACACATACATAGATATTCAAACTTGTCTCAGGCAGTCGTTAATATATATATATATACACATAATTTTTACATAAACAGAATTCTGCCTCTGGAAATTAGAGCAAAGATAAAGCTATGTGCTGCTACAATTTTGAAAGTGTTGATTTCGGAAGATCATTTTCCCAAGCTTCAATTCGGTTTCCTTTTAAACTAAGGACAGAAAATTCTCATATGGGGAAATGATTGGAGTGAAGAATGAATATGAAAATTTCAAATAAGCTTAGCTTTGTAGTGTTTATATATAAATACCATTAAAAGACATTTTACTATTTCACAAACAAGAGAAGTGAAAAACTAAGGAAACAAAGGTATAGGAGATTATGTGAGGCAGGGTGGCAGATTAAGAAAAAAAATTCCATATATTTAATAAGTTATTAGTTAATTTAATAAATTAAATAACAGTAGTGCCTGCTATTTTTTTTTTCTAGGGGAGGGCAGGAAACATTGAAGAGTTCAATGCAACTGTCGTCCCAACCATCAGATTTATTATAAAGCTTTAGTAACTTCACTTTTAGAGCATTACCAACAGAAATCAATCTAATCTATCATTTTCAGTATAACAAATTAAAATATATTTACCCAGAAAACATTCGTCTTAATTTTCACTTCCTATGACAAACCTGGAAATACCTGTTAGTTACTTTGCTCTTGGGATGACTGGAATGACTCTTAGTAGATGAAGCAGTTCTTCGGCAGGGAGGGATCTTGCTTCTTTTCACAACTTTTCGGTTGTTTTCTTTCCCACTCTCATGGTCACTCTCAGAAGTTGGATCTGTGTCTCTCTTAGCTTTGAGAACATGTGGAGGAGCATCCTTCTTTGAGTCATCAGATACCTAAGAACAGATCTACACACTTTAAAATCTCTAATCAACTAATCTCTAACATATATTGAGGTGTTATGTTGGAAATGACTTAATGGTTTCCAAACTACCTACTCCCTCCTTACTAAAACATTTAGTTATTTTCAAAAAGAACATAAGACAATAGAACAGCATATTTGAGAATAAATAATTGCTTATTTTCAAAATACCTGAAGTTTATTAAAATCCTTGGGCACAGAGGCACATTATTATGCTTAGCGTGAAATATAAAACAGATGCAAACATGCTAGGCACAAGATAAATTATTATGAAAATACATTTGTTATGAATGCTTTCCTATGTAATTTAACACCAGCTTGACCTATTATTTGACAAAATTAGTTTTTACAAGTTTTAGAATCCAGTCATTGGATTGTATTTCATATTTCATCTTGGTTTAATTACATACATTAATGGCTTCAAAATAAACAAACCCAGAAAGCAATTTTCTATCCAATACAATGTAATCAGATTGTATTTTGAATCATGGAAACTTCTGTACTGTATAAAAAATACAGGACTAGAAAAAGCTTAAGCTTTAAATTCTTGCTTTTGTCTTATTAAGTTTTTCAAAATCATTAAGCACACATTAGCACCAAGCCAGTGCATACCTACCAAGGAAAATACTCAAGTCACTCATGGTGAATTTCTGCATCATAAAGACACACCTCATTTTACAAACAAAAATGTCTGTACACTTAAGAGGGAAACAAACAAACCAAATATCACCTTTTGCAGTATCTGGGAAATCTGATCTTCTATTTTTTTAATCCTCATCTCACTGTGTATTTTATCCTGTTTGGCCTTTTCTGGTTCTGAAGAGGAGATGGCCTCCGTAGAGGAGCTGACAGCACTTTGCAGTGACATTCTTGTTCGTTGACGAAAATGGGCTAACGCCTGGTCAATATGAGGTGTCACCATAGGCAACGTAGCACAGTTCTATTAAAATGAGAGACAGTCCCTGCAACATTAATGAGTTGTATGCAAGATAAAAATCTGCTGTATCAATTTTAAGATCAGTACATGCAAACTATAGCACCTTATGTTCATATATGGGGTTTGTAGATGAAACCAAGTAGTCCAAAATATCGTCTAAACACTGCAAGTTTTCTTCTGCCTTTTCTTCTACTGGTTCACCATAAGTATTTCTTCCATCTAGAACTTTTAGCTGGGGCAAAGTCTGAAGAACAACTTCTCTGTAACCTTGAGGGGACAAAAAAAAAAGTTTAAACTGAAATGAATAGGTGAAAAAGGTTCCTGATGTAGTCTAGGTACCCTATCATCTATTAAAAATGCAATGCACATTTTAAGAAAAGGAGCAGTGGATTATCTAGATGTTCCCATTTCCCCACCCTCAAAGCCTACTAACAGGAAACATTTCTGAAGATATGATCTGGGAAGCTATCTCCATATTCCTGGTCTACACTGGGATTTCCCTACCATCACAGTATCAGTGCAGTGCAATAAAAAAAATGAAAAAAAAAGGAGAATTTTTACAAACTTTCATAAAACTTTATTTGTGAAGACAGCAGACAGTTTCAGTCAGACGGAAAATCTTCATAACAAAGCCCTCAACTCAAGAAAGCAATGGGAGAAGATGCAGCAGTTCGTTTGAATTCAAGGTACTGAATTTAACTGACTCATCCCTCTTTCTCCCTCTCCCCACCCCATCCTCAAGAAAAAATCAAACACACACACACACACACAGAAGCTCTAAACAAAACACGTCAAACTGATGCATCTACAAACATTCCTTGAACTCTCCAAGCTGCCAAGCAAATTCCATGCCTACTTTGATGACAAACATCATTTACCACAGAGCATGTTACAGACTATCACTGCCCACAGAAGCTGTGGTAAAGTAGCAAGGGCTGAAAGTGTTTATTACAGATCTCTCTCCGAGATCTCTAGCAAAAGACCATCTACTGCCCATGTCTTCCTTTTCTTGTGGTTCTTTACATTTTTAGCTGTCCCACTCCAATACCCACACTCCCTTCTACCTATTTCTGCAATACTTTCTGTTCCTACAGTAGTTATACATCCTGATTTACAATTCTGAAAATATTCTTGGTGGGAAAAAAATGTCTATGCAGAACTATTAATTTTGACAGAACTAGATTTCTGCAGGCTGGCCAATTTATGAATTAATTTACAAGCTTCAGAACCTGGCTTACCGTTTAACAAAAAATCATCCACCTGTAGAGTATGAAGTGGCTACCTAAAAAACAAGATCCATACCTGCTGTGTGGCAAACTGGGTTGGTCTTTCCATTTTTCTCTAATGTGAGACTGGTCAAAGAGTGCAGTCCCTTTGTGCACTGAAGTAAATGATTAATATCATTTATGCAGTTACCGTGCAGTTCAATATGACTCATCTTGCTGCTGGTTCCATGAAGGCACTTAAGTCCTGAAAATTAGATAAAAACACAAAATAATGATTTCTGTTCTGGTCCAAGTTCAGTAGTCTGTGATCATTCAACATCTTGTTGAAAAATAGTAAAAACACATGTTAACTTGAAATGGTGCAAGAACTATTGCTCTACATTCCTGGCTAGATGTATTAATTACAGGACACTACAACACCTACACTAGTTGAGAAGGCTAACTTTAAAAACACAGGTATGTTTCTATCTGTTAAGAAGCTCAAGAAAATGAACATATTTTGCTTTGTGAATTTGTTGTTGTAACTTAGTTCATTAACAGAGTTGATAGAAAATAAAGTTTGTATTTTGTTTTACCAACCCAAGCTGTGGATTTCGCAGCTTAAAACAAATTGCTCATTTAGAAAAGTAGTTTAGGAAAGCACAATCACACTGTAAAAAAGCTTTATTTTCATTGTAAATAAAGGAAAAATTAATCCTTTGGAAGTATTTTGTAAGATATTTTTCACTTTACAGATGAGTTTGAAATACTTACTGTACTTCTGTGTGAACCTAGTATACAGTTCAATAAAGAAACCACAAGACTAAGATTTTCCAAAATTTTATGCACAGAATACTAGCATAGCACCAACAATGACTAGCAATATAAGATCTCTAAGTTTCAGATCTTTTGCACAGCAAAAAATAAATAAATCTTTTTATGGAAGTAAAAAAAATTGCCTTCAGGATCCATTTCATTCAGTTTGTACTTATAATTCAAAAAAAAAAAAAAAGAACACAAAGAAATTGAAACAACATATTTGTTCAGCAAATTAATAATTATTCAGTTTCCAGATTCAGATTATTATAGAATGTAAACCTAAGAAAAAAAAACAATTTAGTCCTTTAATTTACATCTGAGAAAAACAGCACATAATCCTTTTTAAATTGTTTCCAATGGACAACACACATTCATGTTTTAGCATTACGAACATGAAAGAGAACCAAACCAAATGAGAATTGCCACAGAGAGCACCAAAAACTTAAACTTTAGAAGTTTAACTAAACCGTTAAGTTTCTGGAGAATTAAATACTGCCGTTTCCTATGGACAACGCACATTCATGTTTTAGCATTACAAACCTGAAAGAGAACCAAACCAAATGAGAATCACCACAGAGAGCGCCAAAAACTTAAATTTTAGGAGTTTAACTAAACAGTTAAGTTTCTGGAGAATTAAATACTGCCTTTCTTCTCTATAAATAAATAAATAAAGGGACAAAGGATCCTAACACACAGTGAGAAGGTCATGAGAAAATGGAAAAAGGTTTCACTTAATGGTTAATTTTGTGAAATTTTCCAGGCTAGCTCTTTTTAGGCCCACACCACACAACAGTTTTGCTTTATGTAAAAGCTATGTATTGGAGAACAGATAATACTGTTGCTGTGTTGTACAAAAAAGGAACTTCTCAGCTCTCAAGGGGAGCCTTAGCAAGGCTTGTGGCAGATACAGCAGCCTGAGGTCATGTTCTGCATGCAACATCTGGTGGGGATGTTGGATTTTTCACCTCTACTAGCCATGGAGCTAAATCTGAGCAGCTCCAGACTGGCAGCTACACAGCCAGGTTTACAGAGATGAAGCTCAGGCTGGTCAGAGCAACCCAACTCTCAGACACATGAGAGTCACAGCAGTTGTGACCTTTAGCAGCATGTCAATAGCACTGAACTCTTGGAAATCCTTAAAAAGGCACCTGGTGAATTGCTTTGAAATTAAAGAGAGACAGACCTTTCCTATTGCATGGAACATGCCAGTCACTTACCAGAGAGATCATGTATGCGGTTATACGACAAGTTCAGTACAGTTAAATTAAGGAGATTTTCCAGTCCTAAACAAAGCAAGGGAAGAAGAAAAAGAGTATGATTTACTTAAGAAGCGTGCTCTGCTTTCATCAAAGCAAAAGCTTGCAAAACAAGCCAGGCTTTCACAGCAATAATAACAACATATGACTACAAATTATAACAGTAATATAAAGGGCACTATAGCTTTCTCTTCTCAAGTAAGGGATCTTGATATGATAAAGGATACAGAGACTACACATTCATCTTAAAACTCAGAACATAACATGGCTGGTAATTAAGATTAGCTTAGCATAACCTTCATAGCTTAGCATAACCTTCATTATAAGCAAGACTTCCCGGGAAGTTCCCCAGGAGGAGGGAGGCATAGGCTGCCGACCTTGCACGCTGTCGATGAGGTTGCAGGAGAGGTTGAGCGTGCGCAGGCTGCGCAGGGCGCCGAGCCCCTCCATGCGGCGGATGCGGTTGGAGGAGAGGTCCAGGTGCTGCAGGCCCCGCAGCTGCGCGAGCCCCTCGATGCGGGCGACGCGGTTTCCGTGCAGGTTCAGCGTGCGCAGGCCCGGGCTCAGCGAGAGCTCCAGCAGGCTGCGGGATGAGAAGCGGCCCGTCACCCGCAGCCAGCAGCCGCGGGCCCCCCTC